CCTTTAACTAGCCCACGAGCCAAGATTATCTGAGTAACCAAGAGGAGTTGTAGATAACAGTTGTTTACTACTCAAGGGCACTAAGTCCTTGATGATAAGCGGATGTATTCAAGCACCGGTTATAAGCGTCCGAGGATGAAAGACCCGTATTTAAGCATATACTACAACAGTGTCTGCGTCCCATCTAGCCAGCCAGGCGGTGTTTGATTACTATACTCCTAACACACACACACACACACACACACACACACACACACACACACACACACACACACACACACACACACACACACACAGACCATCTCAGGTAACCAAGCAAACTCTTCACTAACGGACGAGGTCAAATAATTTGATCTTTATATGACATTATGACCCATAACATCAACTAGGAGTAAACTGTGGTCGTCTATACACAAACTGAGTGGGATGGGGTGGGGAGGAGTGGGCTGGGGGAGTGGGATCAGTGAGGATATGTGTGTTTACGTTGGTGCCATGTTGTCTGGCTGTAGGCTGAAGTAGGCACAGTGTGTGTATTGTGGTGAGGGGGGGAGGGGGTAGGGGGGAGGGTGAGAAGTGTGTAGTGTGAGTTGGGGAAGGCGGATTTAGTGTGATAAAGAGCAGAGGTGTCACTTGAGATCTGTGGGCGTGGATGATGCCTCTCTCTCTCTCTCTCTCAATGAGTTAGCAGGTACTGAGATTTGACTGTCTTTTTATTCCTCCTCCGTTACCTGGGACTCACCTACAGTAGCTATAGGTGAATTAATCAGATGTAATATTATCCCAATGAATAGTACCTAACCTACCCCCCACCTAACCTACCTACCCCCCACCTACCCCCACCTACCCCCCACCTAACCTACCTTCCCAACCTTCAATCATAATATTTACACTCCCATACGTAAAAAAAAATCAATCCTAACTAAATCTTGATCTTTTCTAGGCATTGGGTCACATCTCAGGTTGCCACGTGAACCCGGCCGTGACCTGTGGGATGCTGGTAGCTCGTCACATCTCGGTGGTGAGGTCCCTGTTCTACATCATCGCCCAGTGTGCTGGAGGACTGGTTGGATCGGCTATACTGTTGGTGAGTCTCCGTGGATCTGTAGTACCGGTTGACATTATTCTTTTGTTTAGCCTCCAGCCTCCAAAGCCTTTAGTCTCCAGCCTCCAAATACTTAACCTCCAAAGTCTCACGCCTCAAATCACCAAAAACCTCTATCCACCCACACCCACCTCCCCCTATCCAACATCCCATCATGACATCAATGTTACCATAAGCGTCCGGATCATGGTGACTCACTGTTGCCAGATCTCGCGTTAGAAGATACTCCTTAGCACGCCAAAAGGAGAAAATTAACTCCTGGTTATATTTCACAGTGCCAAGTGACAAATATAATCTGGCATCTCCTTCTTGCACACCTGGACAGCTGCCATCGTGATAGTAAATTCATGGATCCTAAAATATACTCTAGTTTTTTTATTAATAACTTTGTAATGATGTTATGCCTGATAAGGAGAACTAAACATTGATAAGACGTACTACCTATAGATAAGTGTAAACAATTATGCTCTTTGTGTTTATAAAAGTGATAATGCGTATCACCTGAAGATTATACACCCCAGGTTAATTTACCTTAAGATGAACACCCAAATGATAGCTCGAGGTTAAGTTAGGTTACTGTTAGGTTAAGACTGTGTTAGACGATTGGTGATTAGGTTCTGGGACAGTTAGATCAGCTATGTTGTATGTTTATTTGAATCAGGTAATGAATACTAATAAACAATAAAAATAAGCGTAAAAGCAAAACAAAATAAATAAGGAAAACAATGAATAAATAAAAGAGGAAATTGAAAACGTTAAAGATACATGAATACACAGGTGGATTAGAACGACCCCGTGGTCAAGCTTGGCACTGTCCACCAGCCGCCAACAACCACCACCACCCACCACAACAACAACAACAAAAAACGCTGCCTCACCTCATACCCCCACCTCCCCCCATACCCCCACCTCACACCCCACTTCCCCCATACCCCCACTCTCATACCCCCCACTCCCCCACCCCCCACCTCCTCATACCCCTCACCTTCTACCCCCTCACCTCCCCACCCTCACCTCCCTCATACCCCCCTCACCTCCCTCATACCCCACTCCCACACCCCCTCACTCCCTCACACCTCACCTCCCTCATACCCCTCACCTCCCCCATACCCCCCCACCTCCCTCATTACCCCCACTCTCCCACCCCCCACACCCCCCACCTCCCACACCTCACCTCCCCACACCCCACACCTCACCTCACCCCTCACCTCCCACCCCTCACCTCACACCCCCTCACCTCATACCCCTCACCTCCCTCACCCCCACCTCCTCATACCCCTCACCTCACACCCCCCCACCTCCCCACCCTCACCTCCCTCACACCCCTCACCCCCTCACCCCCTCACCTCCCTCACCCCACCTCACCCCCACACCCCCCACCTCCCACCTCACCTCATACCCCCCACCTCACACCTCACTCTCCTCACACCTCACCTCATACCCCACCTCATACCCCCCCACCTCATACCTCACTCTCATACCTCCCCTCACTCTCCCACCCTTCTCGAGTTATCACCTGAGAACAGCAGGAGTTAGATTGTGGTTAGGTTCAAGATAAACACAGAGCCAAGTATATCGTGGCGTTCAGGTGCATAGAAGAGGGGTAGATTGGGCGTGGGCTGGGCAGGATGTGTGTGTGTGGGCGTGATGGAGGATGTGGGTTGGCAAGTATCGGACGTGATCGGCAACCACGGCGGTCATCTGGTAGTAAACACCACCATACTGTACTATAACACCCATTCCGCTCCTCCTGTATTGGTGACGTCACTCATGGCCAACAAGGCTATTATTTACGTCTATTTCCTCTATACTATTTCACCAATATTTTAAACTGAACTATTTACTAATGACTATTAACTCTCAACTATTGACTAACAAAATCTAAAAATAAATAAATAAATAAATAAAAAATATCGGTAAATATTGTCAAGTCAGGATAAGCGTTCATGAAGCTGACTGACGCAGCTCCAACGTGTGACGAACTGAACTAAAACTTTATTTTCTTCCTTCCCTCTTCTCTTCTTCCCTTCTTCTCCCCTCCTCTCCCTGTTACCCCTCTTCCTCTTCCCCCCTCCTATTCCTCTTCCTCCCATTTCACCTTGCTCTTCTCCCCCTCCACCGTCCCACACCATCTGATAAATAAAACACACACACACACACACACACACACACACACACACACACACACACACACCCGGAATTTAAAAAAAAAGATACTTATAAACAAAACAAAAGAGGGTTGATAGAAAATGGTGAGCGTTGACACTACTATTGCCCAGAAGTTTTAGGAGGAGGAGGAGGAGGAAAGTTCCACAAGGTTAATAACACCGAGGGGAGGGGGGGAGGTATTGTTGAGTACCACGCCACACCACCATTGCCTGAGGCCCCCTAACCACGAACACCAGTAAGAAAAATCCACAGGAGGTGACTATAACCCCGAACCTGGCCTTCATTCCCACTAGTTGTCAGTATACTGTACGTACCTTGGCTGTTGACAAGATAGTGGGAGCTTCACACATCAGCCAACTAAGACCGAATTGTTGGTGTTGTTACGGGGATTAGCCCACCCAGGCACAGGTCATCAACCCACATCGGGACCTGGGGAACGAAAAAAAAATGAATCAAAAATAAATACAGAAATGGTAAAAATATAAACAAAATCAACTATGAGAAACGTTATGTTATGTTATGTTGAGACCCTGTAATTGTGTGTAAATGCAGCAGAAAGTCAGATCATGCAACCTGGGACTTAGTAAGATATGGTTACAGGGTGTAGCATTAGACAATACATTATGCTTCCAATATCTTCCCAGGCGGTAGTACCTCCCTGTTTGGTAGCAGTCTACTACCTACTATCTTTAAATACAAGCGATACCCTTAATTCCATCTAATCTAACCTAACCTTATCTAAACCAATTTAGGTAATTTAACTTATCCTATCCAAAACCAATCCAGTCTAACCTAACCTAACCTACCCTAACCAAAGATTCTTAGATTAGGTTAGGGTAGGTCTGGCTGGTTCGTTGTTTTTTGTCATGAATGGACAAGTCACGCTCAAGCTACCGGTAATAACAGGTTCTACGCACACACACACACACACACACACACACACACACACACACACACACACACACACACACACACAGCTAGATAGATAATCTCATACACTTACACAAAGTCCTGGTATAAAAAGCAACAGTCATTATAGAAGAATCTGGGTGGAATTACTAACCCATTTACAGCCGCAATCACAGTCCCATAACTTGAGTGAACCAGCTGGAGAGTTTACGAACCTCTGACATACTTGGCGGAGGACCAGTGAATGCAACTCTGTCCTGATCTAAACCACGACATATTTACCTTATTTTACCGAATGGCCACCCAGTAAAGATGGCCTGAGGGAAGGAGGGCATCTCTATATCTCTCTTACTATTTATGTGGATTTTTTTTAGTGTTTATCATTGTTTATTTATCTCTATCTCTTCTTATTTTCCTCTTCTCTACTTCCCGCCATTCTCTAATAGTCACCCCAAGAATCTAAAAAAATTACGTTTTCTCTGGAGTACAAATGCAACGCAACTTAAACTCTGAGCTTGTTTAGTTCTTGCGCTTCGTCGTCTAGTTTCTCCGCTCCCTAAGCTCTGAGAACCCATTACTAACTGTTAAATTCTAAATATAGATTACTTAATGAGTATTCCCTCAAGTCATTAAGGTTTTAAAAGCATATAACAGGGTAAATAACTCGTAAAACTGAGGGTCGGAGCGCAAACTTGGTAAATAACCGTTTTCTTCTTTATTTTTCAGGACTAGCTTAACTGTTTTTGTTGATATATTGATGGTAATGTTATTTTCTTTTGATTTACAGCTGGAAGTAGTTATTATTGGTTGAATTTAGCGTTTTTATCATTAGTTAACCCAGTTCAGTGAATATACAAATCATTATGGATTATACATTATACGTTACACATTATATACTACCATACATAATACTCTATACCTCATAAAATATATATGATAAAGTAATATAGTTATCCTGACAGAACATTATTCAGTATAAACGACTGTATACACAAGATAACATGAATCATTTGCATGTAACTATAAGGTTATCTTGTATAGTGACTACGTGTACTTTGAGCGACACCCACATAACGGCGGGGTACACTGTCTATACCCAGTCGTGAGATGTAAGATGATTTGTAAACACTAGTGACGAAGAGAATAAAAGTAAAAAGTAAAAAAGGATAAAAGTAAAACGTAAAAGTAAACATGTGTGTAAATTGCAGGGAGTGACGCCAGCTGAGCGACAGGGCAGCCTGGGCATGACTTCCATCAACCCGGCCGTGAACGTAGGCCAGGCGGTGGGTTTCGAGCTGCTCTTCACTTTCGTACTGGTGCTGACGGTTTTCAGCGTCTGTGACGAGCGAAGGAACGATGTCAAGGGCTCGGCACCTCTAGCCATTGGCCTCTCCGTCGCTGCCTGCCATCTCGCCGGCGTGAGTTACCATTTGTTGCTTGTTAATTTTGACATAAATTAGTATAAAGTGGTGAGATTATGGGCAAGAACTATAGCCAAAAATGGGGAAGGGAAGTACAGCTAACATCAGGATTAATAATGTTAATCTATATATTCTTACACAGCCACGGCATTCATTCCTTAATAAATTCATATAGCATTATCATGCAACTAAGACCATCCCCAGTATGTGTGTGTGTGTTCAGGTATACAAGACCCCCAGGTGTTGTTGTTGACAGAGTTGTGTGTTTACAGGTGCCCATCACAGGTGCCTCCATGAACCCGGCTCGCACCTTTGGCCCAGCTGTCGTCGCCGGACTTTGGGAGAACCATTGGGTAAGTCTGCCTCCTCCTACACCTCCTGTTGGGTCCTCCTACACCTCCTGTTGGGTCCTCCTGCACCTTCTCCTGTTGGGTCCTCCTCCTACACCTCCTGTTGGGTCCTCCTCCTCCTCTTCCTGTTGGGTCCTCCTCTTCCTGTTGGGTCCCCCTCCTCCTCCTTACCACCTCTTACACCTTTTGCCTCGTTTTCATGCACTTCCTAGCCCTTCGTATCAAATCCTAGCACAACCCAAAATCCTAGCTCTCTTATCATGTCCTAGCCCTAGCCCAAAATCCTAGCCCAGACAAACCCAACATTGCACCCCTCCCCCACCCACTCACCACCCTGTTCTTAAGCTAGAAATAAGTGCAAGTAACTGTAGAAACTGATGCTGTAGTTGTTGTTATTGTTGTAGACGCTTGTAACTGTTGTTGCTGTATATGACAATTAGTAGTAGTTGTTGTTGTTGTAGATGCTTGTAAATGTTGTTGTTGTTGTAGTTTGTTGACTTTATTGCCCTCTGTAATTTCTATGCTAGTTCTATAGTCTATCCACACTTCATTGCTCTGGGGTAGATGTTACACCATCTGTTCCCCATATCTTATTTAACCTACACCATCTGTAAACAACACTATCAGTGACCTAGACCACCTGTGACAAACCAGCTGTAACCCACACCACCTACACCATCTGTAACCTGAACCAGCTGTAACCCACACCATCCACACCATCAGCAAACTTACACCACCTGTGACAAACCAGCTGTAACCCACACCATCCACACCATCAGCGAACCTACACCACCTGTGACAAACCAGCTGTAACCCACACCAACCACACCATCAGCAAACTTACACCACCTGTGACAAACCAGCTGTAGCCCACACCACCTACACCATCTGTAACCTGAACCAGCTGTAACCCACACCACATACACCATCTGTAACACGAGCTAAACCAGGATGGAATGACCACCAACTATAACTCACAACTGCCAGATTTAACATCCACCAACTGTGACGAGAACCCAATTTTCTTTTTCAGGGATAAATTTCTTCCCCCGTTTTCTTTTTCAGGGATAATTAAGGGATATACTACCAAGACTTATATCCAGAATCAGGGAGACCTTTTCTACCATACTGTATTTAGAAAGAATTTAAAACCAATATATTTTATCACCTAAGAATCGTCAGAACTTATATGTACTTTGCTCCTTACTTTATATTTACTTATAATGTAGCTAGAAATTAATATGTATAGTAATCACTTGACTTGAGCATTTTATTGTGAGCATTTTGTCACCATGAGAGCATTTATGGTTTCATGGGCATTTAGGGGGGTTCACATCACACAGGTTTAGGTAGAGGTTTGAGTTCGAATAAAGGTTCATAATCTCGTGGTGTTTAAAGGAAGGGTTCACATTAAACTAGATTCTAATGGAAGTTTACATTGTGGGGTTCGTATGTAGGTTCACATAACATTGGGTTCAATATGTGGTTCAAACGAGAGGTTCAAGTATAACCTGTTTTACATCACCTACTTATCAATTCAATTCCTAACCTATCCAGTGTTTGACCAATCTTATCTCGAACACACACACAGACACACACACACACTCACACACTCACTCACACACACTCACACACTCACACTCACTCACACACTCACTCACTCACTCACACACACACACACACACACACACACACACCTGTAAACTGGGATAAGCTGCAACACATGTCCACAATACACAAGAAATTTTTTTATTTTACTTTACCCCAGCTTAATGTGTGGACGAGGGTTGAACAGCTTAATGTGTGGACGTTGAACAGCTTAACGTGTGAACGATTGTTGAACAAATTATAACGTGCAAACTCTTATAACTGCCACTCGTAAGAACAAATTGAAAAGATAAAAAACAATAACAATAAACTAACAAAAATCAAACAGAAGTGGATAATCATGATGAAAGTGGAAGACTGACACAACAGAAACAGGGAAAGTGGTTCAAGAATAATGTTATTTTTTTCTTCACTAGAACACATTGAACAAAGTGATCTGATACAACTCATAATAATAATAATAACTTCTGAATTTATATAGTAAAACAAAATCATACAGATATACATTGAATCAATATGTATATAGACAATACATGTACAGTATACACCAAACTACCCCAGAGAGAGAGAGAGAGAGAGAGAGAGAGAGAGGTAGACGCAGAGACCTCAATACGCATCATATTTTCGGGTCATGCATTAAGCGGGGGGAAAAATATCCATAACATCACCTGGAAAAAAAGTAGACCAAGACGGCAAATTTTCCCACGGTAATGCGATTTGTTTTCCCACGCTCATGTTAAAGCGACCATTATTCTGTATTTCGTCACCAATCAAGTTAATCCAGATTCCAAGCTTTCGTGGGTACGGTTGGAGATTAATGGAGTCGATGTTTACCTGAATGTTAGATGATGTTATATATGTATTAATTACAAGGTTAATGTTTACAGGTAGTTAATGTTACCAGGTAGGGGACAATTAACACACCATTTGGATCAGGTTAGGTTTGGTTAGGTTAGGTTGAATTAGGTGTATTGTGTTAAAGTGGGTGTATCAAGTGTTAGGTGTATAATACATTTAAGTGTATTTAATCTGCAGGTGACCACAGGTGTTCAAACGTATAGTATAACAGGTGTAGTGTAACAGATGTCAACAGGTGTAGTGTAACAGATGTCAACAGCTGTAGTGTAACAGATGTTCTCAGGTGTAATATAACAGGTGTAGTGTAACATGTCCTCAGGTGTAGTAGCAGGTGTCAACAGGTGTAGTGTAACAGATGTCCTCAGGTGTAGTAACAGGTGTAGTGTAACAGATGTCCAAGTGTATTATAACAGGTGTAGTTTAACAGATGTCCTCAGGTGTAGTAACAGTTGTCCCCAGGTGTAGTAACAGTTGTCCCCAGGTGTAGTAACAGTTGTCCACAGGTGTAGTAACAGTTGTCCACAGGTGTAGTAACAGTTGTCCACAGGTGTAGCAACAGTTGTCCTCAGGTGTAGTAACAGTTGTCCACAGGTGTAGTAACAGTTGTCCCCAGGTGTAGTAACAGTTGTCCACAGGTGTAGTAACAGTTGTCCCCAGGTGTAATAACAGTTGTCCCCAGGTGTACTAACAGTTGTCCCCAGGTGTACTAACAGTTGTCCCCAGGTGTACTAACAGTTGTCCCCAGGTGTACTAACAGTTGTCCACAGGTGTAGCAACAGTTGTCCCCAGGTGTACTAACAGTTGTCCCCAGGTGTACTAACAGTTGTCCCCAGGTGTAGTATTACAGGTGACCAAGGAAGGTTTGTCTTCTAGGTGTACTGGACTGGTCCCATCCTCGGCGGGATGATGGCTGCCCTCATCTACACCTACCTGTTCAGGGCCCCCAAGATTACCCCCAGCTACGACATCAACCTGGAGAACTGCAATAAGGGCGGCAACAAAGCCTAAGGTACAGACGAGGCACAGACAAAGCACGTTCAGCTGCACCGTGTTAATGAATGAGTGTTTACTGTTTCATTGTGTTGTCTGTATGGTACGGTACTTGTGATGATCTAACTGTACCACCACCGTGTTTGTGTACCCTAAACTGTCCAGTGTCTAGGTGTGGTACGCTGGCTAAGGTACCACACTATGGTAACTGATAATAACTCATCTGTATAATAATTTATATAACTCCTAATGATATAAATTATATCCGTGTAACATAATGACTGTATGTATATTTATGTTACGCTCTTTGTCATGTGTTGTGATGTGTCCAGATAACCCATCCATCTCTGTCTTGATGTTCGTCTATGTGTATGTCTTAAGCCCCTCCCCCCCACACCAACCCTCAGTGATCCATCCCCACCTACCCCCCTCACTCTCCACCCTCCACACACCATAAACGAGTTACATTCATCACAACATTCTCTTTTCCCGGTGGTTGGAGGGCTTATGTCTTATTTAGTGTGCTGGTTGAAGGAAAACCTCTGGCGTCATAAAAGAACACCACTACGGGCAGAAGATGAAGTGGACGAAAGTACGTCTGGCGTAGTTTAATATATACCCTGGTACTTCATCTTGCGCTTGTCTCTTTTATAACACCTGTGGTATTTAAGGTAATTACTTCACTACGTATTGCCGACGGGTGTTTGCGGTATACTAACTGTTTCTTCGCCTTTGTTGCTACAGGGGGGAATATATCGATGTTGTTTAGTAAGTAAGTTTAGGTCTTCAGAGCTTTAAAAAGTTCCCTATGAATCCTATTTTAAGAGCTATCCTGTCTGGTGTAGTGTGTGTGTGTGTGTGTTGGGAAGACAGGTAAACGCCAGAGGTTATCATGGACAGAATGGGAGGGATAGAGGAGGGGGGGACGAGAGGAAGGGAGGCGAGAGAGAGAGAGAGAGGGAGGGGACAGAGGAAAGGGAGGGAGGGAGAGGAACGAGGGGCGAAGAAGCGTGTCACGATCAACCATACACGCCAGTAAAGGTGTCTGGCCTGGCTGGGGTTGTACAGCAGCCGGTACACGGACTAGTGCTTGGCCTCCACGGGGTGATGATGCCTCTCAACTCATTACTGTTCGGTGTTGTTATGAAGGCCTAGTACCGTGACTCCCAGCCGGCCAAAGGGGGTCACTACCACGGCCAACACACACCCCCCCCCCCTCATTGTCAAGTCTCCCATAGTCTCCCCTCACAAAGGTACTGATCTCCACCTCTGTAAAGTTTTCGTGGGTTAAATTCCTTCCTTAGAACCTGGGAATTTTTTTGTTGTTGTCTTCACCTGAATGAGATAAGCAGACGGATCTTAAGTACGGAAGAGTCTTAGTTTTACCTTCAATACTCCTAGACACGTTCTCTACATTACGGCTAATATTGTAAACCCTCAGTATTAACTTATATTACTTCTGGTCTGTATGTATTTGGTAATATCTCATTATACCCCAGCCTGGAAGAAGGTCATTTATGGGGGGTACGTATTGCAGTAAAAATAAATTAACCAAAATATATGTATAAATTGATGTTATATTTTTCTCTCAGAGGGAAACAATAATGAAGGGAAAAAACCCAACATTATATTAGTGTGGATGATAGAGAGAGAGAGAGAGAGAGAGAGAGACCACAAATCAATGTTTACCAACTAACCAATCTTGTGTTGGCATCCTACAGGTGTACTGGCTGGGTCCCATTCTAGGTGGCATCATTGCAGCGTGTTTGTATGAAGTCTGGACCACGCCCACAACCCTATCATTATCATCACCACCATCACGCCCACACCACAATGACGACCCTAACGACGACCCCACCGCTGCCTTCCTCGTTTCTGGACCCAAGATTGAGATAGTTGCTGATAGAACCACTTGTATCTGAGGCCATTGGATCTATTAGCTGACTAATTGAATCTGTGCTATGTTTAATCAGCTATGCACGGCTATAATATTTTCTATATCTATCTCTGCTATACAAGTTCTATGTCAGCTATATATTGTACAATCATTAGTACTTTTTTTTTATATCTCTGCTATACACGAAAGCTTGTATTGCAGCTACTGTACACACACACACACACACACACACACACACACACACACACCTAACCTCATCCACTAAGTATGACCCATTTTTTTTAACTTCAGCTGTACATTAAACACAAAAACTCATAATATATCAAAAGTAATATTTGTATTGAGAATGTCTAACAGTTTATGAGCTGTTTCCCTGAGGTGTGTGTGTGTGTTATGCTTTACAAACATTAATTAACGCCACTCAATTTCAACCATCTAAGAATCACATTATATCCAAACTACTCTTAAAATTAGTAACTTTTATCCATTATCGCGCTGCACAATCTTCAACATCAAATCCCAACTCATCCTGACTTAGTGAAGACGAGTATAAATATCATAGTTCATCCTGACACTCTTCTGCATTTTACACCATCTATGAGTCATGTTAGGCTGCCTTAACTACAGATCCTAACTACCTGAACTAGTTAATCACCTCATTGAGCGTAGAACAATCATCACGTGACTAAATAGATAATATTTTTGTGCGTGACGTCATTCATTACATCATACCATCAGAACTTTCATCTATAAGTATAACATTCATAAATAAGTGTATGGAGAATTACTTATATTACTCATTACTTTATATTTACTTTAACTATAGTAAACAACAACAGTATCTTCACGGGGTGGGGGAGGGGGTGATTGATGAATTCCAAAATGAACACTGTGACTCCTGTTGTGTTGTCTAAACCTTTCGTCCATTGTGTTATATTGTTCGCCTCTCTTAGTAAACTATGAAATAATTTATACATATATACCACCATTACATACTAACCTCACGGCTATATTAACTAATGTATATGCTATAATAGCCTATAGAGCAATCATTTATATCAACTGTCTATATTTATACATCATATCAGTTCATATTTGCATTGTTTTATAATATTAAATAAAGATTAAGAAATAAAAGTATTATATGTGTTCTTTATCCTTTTTTTTATTCACAAAGTTATTTTATTTCCCTATTGTTCTTTTGTTCATGTTATAACTTGTTCATACATAATACTGAACAAAATGAACATATATGATCAGATTATAACATGTTCTCCATAACGTAACGTAACCTAACAGCGGTCCACCCAATAAATGAAAAAAAATCACTCGGCAAATTACATGAGACCAACTAACCATTCTCTCTCTCTTTTTCTCTTTCTCTCTTTCTCATTTTCTCACGTGTAAGTGACTGAGAGATAGAGAAAGTGTGAGTGATGAGTAGAAGTTTACTGTCTCTTTTCTGTCTGTCTGTCTGACTGCTTCACCCTCCCCCACTTCCTCCTCCTCCTCCACTTCTTCCTACTCTCCCTCTTCCCCTCCTCCCTCTCCCTCCTCCACTCCTTCCTCTTCCTCCTCACAATAATAACACAGGCAGGTGAGATGTTTGGCTACGCTGTCTCTTATTGCATCACAGGAGAGAGAGAGAGAGAGATCGTCTTCTAATTACCCCCTCAGTCTCATCTCCCTCACCGCTCGGGATCACAACTACCGCACTGAGAACTAACCGCAAGGGGAAAGGTGTGTGTGTGTGTGTCTCCCTAAATAAATGAAAACTCTACTTTGAAGATGTCGTTACCTGTAAGATAGACTCGGGTATTTAATTACGTAAGAATGAAATACCTGTAATATACTCAGGTATTTAATATAAGAAGGTCATGAAACAGACATAAACTACTAGATTTAATAAAGGAAAAACTTAATGGTGGAAGAATTTGGTTTTCATTTGATGTAATATAAGAGACAGCTGTTGGCAGTGTGATGATGGCCCTCACTGTATCGTGCCAACACATACGAGGCAGTACTGTATCGTGCCAACACTTACGAGGCAGTACTGTATCGTGCCAACACATACGAGGCAGTACTGTATCGTGCCAACACAACACATACGAGGCAGTACTGTATCGTGCCAACACATACGAGGCAGTACTGTATCGTGCCAACACATACGAGGCAGTACTGTATCGTGCACATACGAGACAGTACTGTATCGTGCCAACACATACGAGGCAGTACTGTATCGTGCCAACACATACGAGGCAGTACTGTATCGTGCCAACACATACGAGGCAGTACTGTATCGTGCCAACACATACGAGCAGTACTGTATCGTGCCAACACTTACGAGGCAGTACTGTATCGTCCCAACACATGCGAGGCAGTACTGTATCGTGCCAACACAGCAGTAGGGCAGTACTGTATCGTGCCAACACTTACGAGGCAGTACTGTATCGTGCCAACGCATACGAGGCAGTACTGTATCGTGCCAACACATACGAGGCAGTACTGTATCGTGCCAACACTTACGAGCAGTACTGTATCGTGGCAACACCACGACAGTACTGTATCGTGCCAACACATGTATCGTGCCAACACATACGAGGCAGTACTGTATCGTGCCAACACATACGAGGCAGTACTGTATCGTGCCAACATACACGAGACAGTACTGTCGTGCCAACACTTACGAGGCAGTACTGTATCGTCCCAACACATGCGAGGCAGTACTCGTGCCAACATACAAAAACATCACCACTAATAAGGTCAACTGTCCCGTGGTCTTCCCCCCTCACCCCCCCCACCATCCCCTCCCTCACCTTACTTACTCTCCTACTCCTCATGCCATCTCCTCACCCTTATCCCCACCCCCTGCCCTCACCAACCCCCCATCACCCCCCGGGCTATGACACACCTACAACGAGTCGATTTACAAGTTCAAGACGATTTTTTTGGTCCATCTTTGAGTTATTCCTTGAAGACCCACTTTACAGGAAAAAGTGTATAAGTGACGATAACTTTGGAGGAACAGGGAAAAGTTGATGATGTTTTAAGAGAAGGATGGATGGAGAGAATGCTAGACAGGTAGATAAAGAGACGGGCGGATGAATAGCCAGACAGACAGGTGAAAAAATAAAAGGTAGAGAGAGAGAGAGAGAGAAAAGAGACAGATAGAGATATAAAAAAAGGAACAGATCTATACACCACACGACTAACTAAAAACAAAAACAAAAGAAAACAAATAAAAGTAAAAGTACCAAAAAAAAACGAAAAAAAAAATTCAAGCCAAAAGTCCATTTCACTGTTGTCTGAGGAAATAAAATCGACTTTCTCTTCATTATCACACCAAACAATGTTAGTCCATCCAGGTGTTGTCCCACAGGTGTCTCGGTCAACACCTGTCTGGTACATCTGTTGGGGAAGAGAGATGGGAAAGGGAGGGAAGGGGGAATGGAGAGCAGCGGAAGGAGGGATGAGAAAGGAGGAATGGGGAGGAGGGGTGAGGAAGAGAGAAGGGGAGGGGGTGGAGGAGCATTCCATTACCCAAATTACCTTCCTGTGGATAGAATGTTCTACAATGACGCAAAATGTTGTAGAATGACGCAGAATGCTGTAAAATGACGCAAAATGAGACAGAATGACGCATAATGTTGTAGAATGAGGCAGAATGTTGAAGAATGACGCCTAATGTTGTAGAATGTTTTCGAATGGCGCATAATGTTGTAAAAAGAAACAGAATGTTCTAGAATGATGAAGAATAACGCATAATGTTGTAGAATGAGGCAGAATGACGCATAATGTTGTAGAATGCTGAAGAATAACGCATAATGTTGTAGAATGAGGCAGAATGACGCATAATGTTGTAGAATGACGCAGAATGCTGAAGAATAACGCACAATGTTGTAGAATGAGGCAGACTGCTGTACAATGAGTCTATTTATCGAAAAATATCGAAATTTAGGTCAAGTGATTGATCTTTAACGTTCAATTGACGTTACCAAAGTTGTTGTCCTTGTAACAGCCTCTTACCACCACAACACACACACACACACACACACACACACACACACACACACACACACACACACACACCACATTACACACACACACCACACACACACACACACACAAAACAACACAGTACAGTACACACACACAGTACACACACACAAACACCACATTACACACACACACATACACACCACACACCCACACACACACACACACACACACACACCACATTACACACACACACACACAAAACAACACAGTACAGTACACACACCACAGTACACACACACAAACACCACATTACACACACACACCACAACACCCACACACACACACTGTACACCTCTTGTTCTCTTTTACGAGTGTAATTAAAAGAGGAGAAGGCAGGTAAAAATACTTCTCCCAGCAAATCACTTTCACCCTTTAACTCCGGCGCCACCTGTACCAACACACTAGTAATTACCGTCTTAACAAGGTACAGTACAGGTAGATGAAAGGTGTATTTGGAGATTAATAAAGTATATAGACTAAAAAAAAAAAACTAACCTAACTATTTACTTAAGATTACTTAAACTTTTATTTTCTCACATTCTATAACTTTGTGGTGATCGTAAACATAGTATTGTGTGTGTGTGTGTGTGTGTGTGAATCTACCATGACAACATTCACTTTATTGTGGAGAATAGGTGTGAGAGAGTTGGTTGTAGGGATTGTCAACATTACGAAATATAGGTCTGTCAGTGTCTGTCTGTCTGTGTCTGTCTGTCTGTCTGTCTGTGTCTGTCTCTCTCTCTCTCTCTCTGTTTATCAGGTATCTCAATCCTGAATTTTCTCCTTTCATCCTTCCTTATTCCCTCACCGACTTTTCCTTCCCTCCTTCCTTTCACCCCCTCCCTCCCCTCACCACCCATTCCCTCCCCTCACCCCCCACTCCCTCCCCTCATCCCCCACTCCCTCCACTCACCCCATCAATTATGTTCCAAAGATAGTAAAAAAAATGGCGTCAAATTTTCACTAAGACTTTAATAGTGTTACTAAATATTGTTCTCTTCTACTGTTCCAGCGGTGACAGGAGGAGGGGAGAGAGAAGGAGAGGGAGGGAGGGAGGGACGGAGAGAGGGAGGGAGAGTGTGAATTGATAAAAGAGGAGAAAGAATGGAAGAAAAAATACCCCCCTAAAAACACGAAATATTAAAAATCTTTCCATCAATTATGTTTACCTACTTACCCACCCAGCCAACCATCACCCCCGCCCACCCGCCCACCCACCCACTCGCCCACCCACCCACTCGCCCACCCACCCAGCACACGACGGAAGGTTCGCACTAAACAATTATATTGATGTGAGACTTTTAAATTAAGACTTGCCTTAAATTTCCAAGACTTTCCTTTTTTTTGGTGAGAGTTTCATCACAACATTTCTCGATGCTTTCACTCTGTGTGCGTGGGGGAGTGTATACAGTGAGAAACCTCTATTTAGCGGACTACATAGAGAGTAAAGTCCGTTATATCGAGGTGTCATCAATGGATAAAAAAAATTGTATCTTATAACAGTTCAAACTCCTCTGGTACCTACATCACCAACGCCAGTGCGAGCGATCAGCAGCGCCTGTAGTTCCCCCTCTGGCGATCAATTAGTTTAATAGCACCTGTAAAGATCTTCCTCCTCCAGGTGACCGCACGCTCGTCTCCCGTCACCACACACACACACGAACAGAGAGAGAGAGAGAGAGAGAGAGAGAGAGAGAGAGAGAGAGAGAGAGAGAGAAACGTGCGTCTGTGTAGTACCAATTAGTGGTGGAAGAGAACGTCAGGTGCTGAGGATTGCCAAGCCTGAACACATCACTAACCTAAGTCACACTACACCTAATTGTGGAGTACCCTAACGCTTAGTGGAGTACCCCAAGGCTCAGTACTTGGACCATTATTATTTATTATATACATAAACGACATAGATATCGGAGTAGATAGCAACTTAAGTAAATTTGCTGATGACACTAAAATAGGGCGTGTAATTAAATCTGACGACGATTCCATAAAACTACAGGAAAATCTAAAAAAAAAATTCGCATTGTCTGAAAAATGGCAGATGAAATTTAATATGGACAAATGTAAAACACTTAGTCGAGGAGATGTAAACAGAGAAACCAGATATCAGATGAACAACGATGTTATAGAGAAGTCCGAC